AGGCAATCCACCTTCCTCGGCCTCTCAGAGTGTTAGAATTACAGGCGTGAGCCTCTGCACCCAGAAAAAAATGGCACTTTTTTTTTCTGAGACAGTCTCCTCTGTCACTGGGACTAGAGTGCCATAGCATCAGCCTAGCCCACAGCAACCTCAAACTCCTGGGCTCAAGTAATCCCCTTGCTTCAGCCTCCCAAATATCTGGGATTATAGGTGCTCGCCACAATACCCAGCTAATTTTTCTGTTTTAGAGAGAGGGTCTCGCTCTTGGCTCACTCAGGCTGGTCTCAAACTCTTGAGGTCAAGTGATCTTCCAGGCTTGGCCTCCCAGAGTGCAAAGATTACAGGTGTGAGCCACCATGCCCAGCCTTCCTGGTATGTTTTAAGAGATTCTGTTTATTTAGGATTTGTTGCAAAAAAAAAAAAATTTAAAGAAAAAACCCTATGTCCTATAATGTCTAGTAAAAACAAAAATTCCCCAGAAATGCACAAACCTAAGAGAAGATAGCACTTGCAGCAGGTACTTACTTGTGATCTGAATAGAAGTGACCTTTCACAAGTGCATTTTCCATTATAAAAGGAATCCATTACCCTAATTTATAACTCATAAGTTATAGCCATCAAAATAGCTTTTAGACCTGCCAGCTATTACAGAAAACCTCTAGTGATGCCATTAATACTTTAATTTTTAGCTTCCTCAGGAACACAGTGGAACACAGACCAGGCCTCATTCTCCACATAAACACACTCAAAGACTCTTCTCCTGATTTAGGAGACAGAAGACATTAATTTGGAGAAATTCACTCTGTCCTCCAAAAGCCAAGTATTTCCTTCTAAATGGAGGCCGAGGGTAGGGGTGGGAGGAGTGAAGGACCATTCAGATGTATCCCAAACCCAATGAAGACATGAATGAAATAGTTCAAAGCCTCTATCATCCTATGTCGTGACGCTATCAACTTTAGAACAGCAGTTCACTCATCTCAGGACCTACTGTTTGAAAAGCCAGTTTAAACAATGTGCTTGTGATTCTGTAGCTTAACTGAATGTATTTACTCCCATCTCTGCCACCCAAATCACTGCGGGACCTTGGTCAAGTCAACAGCATTTGCTTTCAGCTCCTTGCTTGATTGCTTTGTTCTTTAAAATATAAGACCTAAACTCTCTCAAGCTCAAATCCTGCTCAGGATGCTCAGTCAAAAGGGGCAAGGTACCCCACTGCGACATCTGGATAGACAAAAGGTACAAAGTATCTTGTTTAGTCCTCATTGTTATTAAATAAATAATAATGGACACATGGGAGGCTGGCTCATTCCTTAACTACTTGGTTTAAGACCTATAAGCCACTGCCTGATTTCAAGAAGCACAGACTTTAACTGCTAGTTAGTCTCCAACACTCACATCTGAGTGACTAGAAAGCGAGAGCTTCTTTGTTCTGTTTTTTGTTTTCGGAGAGCGCAAGCCAACGCCTCATCTAACTGGGGGTGGCGGCTCCTCCTAAAGTGGCCTGGGCTTCTGGGAAATGCCTCCCCGACGCTGCTATTGATTTTGAACCTTAAAAGCAAGCAAAGGAGAAAATACACGCACAGTAAGAGCCCAGACATGGGGCAGACAGGTGCCAGCTCTCCTGCCAACTTAATCTGAAATATGAACAAAGCCCTTTCAGTCTGGCACTATTCCTTCTGCAGGGAAAAGGGCTGTCCCTACACAGGGTCCCATCAATGACTCACTCTCAAAGTTGTTACTGCCTTAATCTTTTAAAAAATTATCACCTCCCAAAGATGATCATGTTATGGATGCGGATGATCACAAAGCCTTGGCTTTGGGGGGACCAAATGCTGACTTACAGGAAATGATGTGCTATCAATTCACAGCAGACAGAAGTTATCTTAGGGACTGGAAAACAGACTTGGCTTTCTCCATTAAACAGACTGTACAAATGACTTCCCTTTCTCTCCACAACTCACACACATGACAGGCTGGAATACTTGGAATATTTTTTCTGTTTTCTTTACATAAGCCTCTCACTTTTTTTGCATAAAACTGGTTTTTTTCCTAACTCAAGAGATTACAACTGGAGAAGTTTCTGCAAAAACAACTTTAAGACAGATTTGTCTTCAACTTTCCCATTATTCTTCTTAAAAAATAACCAAACCCTCTTTCCATCTTTTCCACAAATTCTCCATTAGAAGAATGGAGAGCTTCTAGGAATTACAAGCTCTCTGGTAATCAGTGGTTAGGAAAAAAAAACACATGAAAAAAATTGAAATGCAGTTCTCTGAGGTGTACCTCCCAGCAAGGAAAAAAAAAAATCAGTCCCATGGCAAACTCAATAATGGGAATCATTGCCAAGACAGACAATTAGTATTTGGTATCCATTCATATGATAAAGGGCAAATGGTTCTGACTCCTATCTATTAGGTTAGAAACTGTCCTATTAAACTGTTTCCAATTATTGCCTCTGGGGAGTGAGGGGACAACATATTTGCTCTAATGTGTAAGTTTTTTATGATGGAGCAATACACCCAACGTCCCAATACACCCCCCGCTTTGTTCTTCATATTCACTGGCCTTAGAAAATAAAGTTCCCAAGTCTTGCAGCCCAGACCACTACACACTCACACTGCATCTCATGTTTGTCTTTACCGACCTCCTAAATTCACTCTCCAAAGCCTCAATTCATCATTTTTCACAAGCCTCTAAGCCCACCCTAGGTCCCCAACCACAGTTCAACACTCGATTAATCTCTGTGACGAGTTCCTATGTCAGCATGTACGGGATACAGTAAGTCTTAGATGTGCCAACACATCTAGGACAAAAAGGCAAAAATACCAAGGGCAGGAAGGGGAGAAAGAAGATGTGGACTGGGTTCTTTTTATCTCAGGTCAGGCATTGGCAGAGAACGGTACTGGGGTGAAAGCAGAGAGCTGGTAAGGGCGCACTGACGTACAAACGATTGAGTTGAATGACGTCCAAAGCTGATCTGTGCTGACAAAAATCAGAACAGTAGTGACCCCTGGGGGAGCAATACTTAGAAGGAGGCACAGGAAGTCCTCTGGGCACAGGTCACCTCCATAGCCTGTCTGGGGAGAGTTTGCAGGCACTTGTTCCCTTCGTGAGAATTCACTTAAGACTCAACCGAGTTACAATTACCAGGCGTGAGCTGACCATCAACAAACAGCCCTGCACTCCCCCGACGACCCCTCTGGCTGCAGAGTGAAGGGACTGCCAATGCATCAATGCAGGACAGAGGTGGAACCACAGGACTAGGCCCTGGGGACACAAAGTTTCAGCTGGAAAGATGTTTTGGAGATAAGGCCAGCAGGACTTGCCGAGGCAAATAGAATGACTCTCAAATTTGAGGCTCAGTTATGTCAGTGACAGCTTCTAAGTTCTCAGAAAAAAAAACTTTGTTCATGGTTTTCAAGGTTGGGCTGTCTGTCTTCATACTGAACTCCATCTGTCTCCCCGTCTCAGGCAGTCCCTGAGCCCCAACGCCCACTAGCACAGAGACCCTGCTTGCACGGCTCCTTCATGTCCTTGCACCTGTCTCCTCTCTGGGAGGATGGGGGCTCACACGTTTATATGTACAAGTGCACAGCACAGCACAGCGCACAGCACAGCCCAGCGCACACAGGGAACAGTGTCAACTGTTAGCATCACAAAGAACAAGACACTCGTCTGGGCACAGTGGCGGGTGCCTATAGTCCCAGCTCCTCGAGAAGCTGAGGCAGGAGGATCACTGGAGCCCAGGAGCTTGAGGTTGCTAGGATCTATGATGCCACAGCACTCTACCCAGGGCGACAGAGTGAGAGTCTAACTTAAAAAATAGATAGATAGATAGATAGATAGATAGATACAGTGGATTGAATTAGGATGGGGGGTGCCTAAAAATCTAATCCCTGTGTGTAGGGAACTTATAAGGGAGGATGTTTTCAACTACCCAACTTACTGAAGTAGGGTTTTGGGGAAAAATTGCTAACAGAAGGACTGCTTGCAAATGTGAGAGTATAAATCATTCATTTTAAAACATACAATCAGACCCCAACAGACAAAGCTGGCAGTAAATACTGTCCATAACATAACATGAAAATCATGAGTTGATACACGGAATCCCGTTTATCTGTTCCAACAAACTAAAAAAATACAAAAACTAAAGCAAACTTACAACATCCTTTACCTGTCAGAGTAAACATTATCAGAATCAGTGACACTGTGATAACATGAATACTCACTCGTTCCCAGTAACACCAAAATTAGCAGAATTTGTAAGAACATGTCATTTATGCTAACAACCTTCTATCCAGTTTGTAGCCAGAGGCTCATAAATTAAGCTGCTTATTTAAGATAAGTGGCAGAGCTAGGGATTCAAATCCATGGCTTACTAACTAAGCCACGCTCTTTCTACTCTGCCAGGAAGCCTGAGGGTTTGTAACAGGAGGAAGGCACAGAAGCAAACTCAGTTCCTGAAGAATGGAAACAAGCTGCCAGTGTACTCAACGACAAATGTAAAGAGTGGTGCCTGGCGCCCGGGCTCACACCTGTAATGCCAGCACTGTGGGAGGCCAAGGCAGGAGGATGACTTGAGGCCAGGAGTTTGAGACCAGCCTGGGCAACATAGCAAGGCCTTTCTCTACAAAAAAAAAAAAAGTTTTTAAATTAGACAGATGCGGTTGCATATGCCTGTAGTCCCAGCTACTCAAGCTGCTTAAACAGGAGGATCCCTTGAGCCCAGAAATTTGAGGCTGCAGTGAGCTATGATTGAGCAACATAGAGAGATTCCATCTCTCAAAAAAGAGAAAGAGAGACAGAATGGCTTTGTTAACTATAATATATTATTTAAATTACATGGAAACACAAGGAGTGGTCATTTTACAAGTAAAACTGAAATAAGAATGCTTCTAACTAATTCATGTAAAAATTCATTTTTATGCAATAGGATTGCCAAAATGGGGTTGGGGGTTCTGAATATTTTTTAAAGTATCTAATATTATACTTTAAAAAAAGTGTTGGCTTTGGCAGTACATATACTAAAATTGGAATGATTACAGGGATGATTAGCATGGCCCCTATGCAAAGATGACACCCAAATCATGAAGCATTTCATATTCTATGTACAGTGTGTGTCAAAAGCTTTTGGAAGCAGAATACATTCAGCATATTTTGAAACTTAAATCATTCTTGGTTAACAAATAAATTTGTCAGAAATCTAGCATATAGAAAAGTGATAAATAGATATTTTCTTTCTTTCTTTTTTTGGCCGAGGCTGGGTTTGAACCCGCCACCTCTGGCATACAGGGCCAGCGCCCTACCCTTCTGAGCCACAGGTGCCGCCCAGATAAATAGATATTTTCTATTTATCATATAGAAAATATCATATCACATTCCTTTTCACCCAGAAATTAGGCCCACAGAAATATCTGGAAAAGTACAAGTTAATATGTATCATATACATATAATTTGCATTTTATATATTAAAAAGTTACATTTATATATAAATATTTTGTTTTTTCTAAAGAGAGCCTCCCACTCTATTGCCCAGGCTGGAGTGCAGTGGCTCAATCACAGTTTAGTGCAGTCTTAAACTCCAGGCTCCAGTGACCCTCTTGCCCTGGCCTCCCACAGTGCTGGGAACCACTCTTAAATTAATCCATTCCACCCCTTGAAAAAAAAAAAAAAAGAGTTTAAAGAGTTCTTTCTCAAGATCACCTGGAACAGTCCCTCCATTATACTGATGAGAAGCAAGGCCTGAAAGAATGTTACTTGCCCAAGGTCACAGACCTTGTCAGGAATAGAGAACATACCAAAAAACATTCTAGACAAGTGTACTTTTTTTTTTCTTTGAGGCAGAGCCTCAAGCTATCACCCTGTGTAGTGTGCCGTGGCATCACAGCTCACAGTAACCTCCAACTCCTGGGCTCAAGCAATTCTGCCTCAGCCTCCCAAGTAGCTGGGACTTCAGGCACCTGCCACAATGCCTGGCCTTTTTTTGGTTGCAGCCGTCATTGTTTGGTGGGCCAGGCTGGATTTGAACCCACCAGCTCAGGTGTATGTGGCTGGCGCCTTAGCCGCTTGAGCCACAGGCGCCGAGCCAACAACTCTACTTTTTAACAACAAAAATAGTAATAATAGCACTTTGATAAGATCAGAGAATACAATCTTTTCAAATACAGAACAAGAATGAGTGCCTAAGAGCTAACACTCAAGGTTTGTTCTCAATTTCAAATCCACTGAAAAATTTACAAGGAATTTTAATTCACAAGAATGAGGTAAGCGTTGAGAAAGAACCCTTGAAACTCACGGTTGCAGGCTGTTGTGAACTAGACACCATCTTTTATTAACTGCAGCACCAGCAACACCATTGCAAAGGGAGAGTAATCTCCAATACCACTGTGATCAAAGAAAGGACCCCTCCAGAAACAAGACTCCAGCTGAACTCATGACACTCGGACTCTTCTTTGACAGTGATAAGCTACACTTGGATCTTCCTTCATTTTAAGTCCATGCAAAGATTATCTTCATGTACAAATTAGTCATTGCAGATTTTACACAAAATATGAAAGAGAAGACAAATTCTATTCTTTCCCTTCTGCTGTGCTAAGAAAAATGCTTCTTCCTTGCTAGAAAACAATACATACACACACACCTACACCTATTAGCTACTCCCTGGTCTGGAAAAGGTAGGTTTAACATGCCTTATGCATGTATGTAATATTTCAGTGATTAATGCTTTAGTAAATATTAGGAAAAACAGCACCAGATGAACTGATACAATTGAATAACAAATCCTTACAAAATCTACACATTCTTAAAATTTGCTCTGACTTTTATTAGCATTTAAAATGCCTTTTATAGTTGTTCAGTAATAGAGGGAAAAGGCTAAATTCAAATAATAGGATTTATAGCCCTGTTAAAACATAATGTAGTATGCCTAAGAAATGGTTAAACAGGAGGCAACCGTCTACTTTCAGGTTTAAACCTGCTCGTTTTGTTTACAAAGCTCTAATAGTTAACTCATTCAAAAAATATTTAGTGTCTTATCATTTTACCAAGCATCAAATTTTGAAGTAAAGGAGCTTACCATGTATAGTTTCAGAATTTTTTTTTTTTTTTGCAGTTTTTGGCTGGGGCTGGGTTTGAACCCACCTCAAGAAATATCTAGACGTTTAGAAACAGTAAGTCATGAGTTCTCTCTCCATCCATTTTGCATTTTTAAAAAATCTTCTTAAGGAGGAGCAGATCCAGAAACCCAAATTTTATCCAGGTGTGGTTATCCTAGGAGTACTCCACTTCCCCGGAAATAGAAAATCCAGCCTCTCTTTTAAATCAGGAACACACAGATTGCTTACTGAAGCATTCCAGTCCATGCAACATTCATAACACGTCTTGCAACCCCCTCAATTAGTAACCTTTTGCACACACTTGCTCACCACCTCCATCTGCTACAAAGGAAATCTGGAGCCCCAGGGCGGAGAACCCACCTTTAAACAGCTGCAGAAGTAATTACCCCCAGGAAAGGACGGATTCATTTTCTTCTGTACCTTCCAGATTGTCCAGGTTGCTGTATTTGTTTTTGGGTGTGTTTGTTTTCTTGTTAACTGAATGACCAAGAGCAAGATTTGATTTAAAGGCTTCAACTGATTACGGCACCCGTGGAAATGTACACATGAAAAATTCCACCTCGCAATGCCAAGAAAAACTCAGTCCTTCTATACCATGCCTAGAGGATGGTCTTGTAAAGGACAATTCCCTTGTATTCTTACTAAATAGATAAATCAATAAAAAGGGTCAAGGGCATTAATGGGCTATCTCAATCTTTCATAAAAACATGATTATGATAAAACAGAGTGACTTCCTAGGGGAAAAAAGATAAATAAATAATATACGTATACATAAAGTTTGTTCAAATCTTGGCTCTCCCGAGTGAATACTATGCTCTTTGAGCCACTCTCAGCTGCTCTGGCTTCTTTGTGAGAGGCTAGAGGAGGCTCTGTCCACCAGGAGACTGTGCTGCAGTGACACACGGTCAGAGCTCCAGCAAACCCTCAGCCCCCGAAGAGCCTGACCTGCTGACTAAGCAAAGTTAATTAGCCTCCCACCTCTGTTCGGCTAAATCCCTAAACAAAAAATACAAGCACAGAATCGAAGGCACTGGCACCTATGAAAGCATCTTAATCACTTTCAAACGTGAAGCAAATTCTTGGAGAAAGAAATCTACATTTTCAACTAATCCTTAGCTCTATTAACAAGCACTTGCAACAATGATTAAAACCACCAGGACACCATGCAATGAAAATTAACTTGCACATGGTTTTAGCTCTGCTACATTTAAATTTTATTCAAAAATTTTGAAAAAGGTGCTCTGCAACATGGAAAGTTTTTTGTTTTTGTTTTTTTAATGCAAAATGAGTTGTTCTATACTGAAAACTGTATTTCAAGGTCACTTTAGGCTCAATGCTACACCAAAACTAGGTGTATACACAAAATTTCAGCCCGGCCAATGTATCAACCATCAATTACTAGACAGAGGCAAATAAATGGTTAGTGGTATCATTAATAATTATGCTCAGTCTAACTTTAATTTACTAGCTATTTTCTTCCTTCAAAGATAAACACTAAACAATTAAACAAAACCAGTCTAGAGGTCTAGATGTTAAGAATGACTTTCCAGGGCTAGGAGGTATTCTATTGATTTAATCAGCATAAAAACACTCAGCAAGAGTAAAAACAGCCCTTCTGCAGTCCCACACTAGAGTGGAAAATACAAATGCACAACTTGGCAAGTAAGTCACACATCTGATGGAAAGAAAATGATATGCAGGGGTCCTGTTGACAGCAGATGGCAGGGAACTAATCCCATAAAGCCTTATTCCTTCCAAGGATAGTGCCTTCCCATAAGAGTTTTCATTTGTAACATTGACATTCCTAAATCGATATAAAATGCCTCTAAGCATTCTGATAGAAAAAGATTGTTAATGACTCATCCAAATGTCTTCTACAAGAAAATGTGAACTAGATGCGTGTTGTCTCCGAACGGAGTTTCTGATTAAGGGAAGGTCTCAGTCATGCTGCTTTGTTTATCAGTTTCTTGGAGGTCAGATTTGTTTTTCAAAAATCTATGCAACAGGGCTTATCTCTTTTCTACCTGTGAAGTGTACATTCTTAAAGCATCTGTTACTCTGATGACCAACACCCTGAAAGCAAATAACTTTGGAAACCTCAACCTTTAAACACAAGGGACACCTCCAGCTGAAGCTTCTCTAGAATGCAAAACCTCTGGCCTTTCAAATGTGTTTTCCAGATACAGCAGCAAAGTGCTGGGGGAAAGCTATTTGCTAAAAAGGGTGGTTAGGATAACACGGTATCCCCACTTGACCACATTATAGTCCAACATGTTTGTGAGCACTGATTTAGAATTCTTTTTTCTTTTTTTTTCTTTTGACAGAGTCTCACTGTCACCCTCAGTAGAGTGCTGTAACATCATAGCCACCTCAAACTCTTGGGCTCAAGAGTTCCTCTTGCCTCAGCCTCCTGAGTAGCTGTGATGCCATAATCCCTGGCTATTTTTTTAGAAGCAGTGCCTTGCTCTTGCTCAGGCTGGTCTTGATCTCCTGAGCTGAAGCAATCCACCTGCCTCAGCCTCCCAGAGAGCTAGGGTTACAGGTGCCACCACCATGCCTGACCAGAATTCTTTTTATAAAAACATCCTTATGTGAAACTGGAATTTTCTTTGAGTGTGTGGCAGTGAAGAATACAATGACTGCATATACACTTTGATGCCGTCGTCTTTTTTTTCTTTTCTTTTCTTTTTTTTTTTTTTTTGAGACAGAGTCTCAAGCTGTCACCCTGGGTAGAGTGCCATAGCATCACAGCTCACAGCAACCTCAAACTCTCAAGCTTAAGTGATTCTCTTGCCTCAGCCTCCCAAGTAGCTGGGACTACAGGCGCCCACCACAACGCCCAGCTATTTTTTGTTTCAGTTGCCATTGTTTGGCGGGCCAGGGCTGGATTCAAACCCGCTAGCTCCGGTGTATGTGGCTGGCGCCCTAGCTGCTTGAGCTACAGGCACTGAGCCTAATGCCATCGTCTTAATCCACCAGTTTATCCACCACG